TGTATCGTCCGCATATTGGTGATATTTTATCCCGTGCCTTCGGATGATCTCGCCCAGCGGTTTCATGTAAATGTTAAATAGTAGGGGGGATAGGAGTGAGGCCTTTGCAGCCAGGTTCTTAACTAATTTAACCACATCCTGCATTCATTCCTGGACTGTAGTCTTACTGGAGATGGATTGTTTGAACATAGAAAAGAAGCCCCAGGTTCAGGACTTACCAGCTCCTCAGTAGACAAACTACTTGTAAAGTTGGAGAGTTGCTATCAGCAAGTGTGTTTACAGGTACTCCTCGACTTACAACCATTTGTTTAGCAACTGTTCAAAGTTACAACATCCAAAAAGTGGCTTTTAACAACATATTCACACAACCATCATAGGATCCCTATATCATGTGATTAAAATTTAGGTGCTTGGCAACCAGCATGTATTTACAATGGCTGCAATGTCCCGGGATCACATGATCACCATTTACAATCTTCTCAGTTGGTTTCCAACAAGCAAAGTCAATGGGGGAACCCAGATTCATCCTTAATTTTAAAGGGCCTGGTTCCCACCCCCAAGTACAGCGCTGTTGATTTGCATGATTCACTTAGCAGCTCTGACAAAAGAGGTAAAATTGAGTGCAAAGTCATTTAATAACTGCCTTGCTCAGCAATGGAAATTCCCATCTTGTGTAGGTTTGTAAGTTGAGGACTTCCTGTACTTACCAACCACGTGCATCTCACTTATTTTGGCTGTTATGGGAAGAATTCATTTGAGAAAGCAATTATGCTTGCAAGAGTTAGGAGTAAAAAGAAACCAGGCTGCCAAAGAATGGACACAGTGGATGGACACCATCAACCATGGTGACCAGCCAAGTTAGTGCAAGTTCAGAAGACATGGAAAGACAGGGCTCATTGAATCGGCCAAGAGTCGGACACAACTGAATGAATAATATCATCACTATTATCAACCATTATTACCATCATTCATGTAAAATCATAATATGTTTTGTAGTGTTTCTGGCTTAGACCCAATCACTGGGATTTGCTCAACAAATCACAGGATGTTACTGAAACTTAGCCACCATCAACAATACTGCATAGTTGAACTGCCTTGCCATGAAACTTTCCCCCTATTTTAGAAAAAGTCCCAGAATCTTGTAACTAACATCCACCCAGCCCACCTTCTCATTTATCTATCTCACTTTACCTGTTGACACCCCCCCCCAAAAAAAAAATTATGTCTTTTAAAATCCCAAAAGAATCCATGTTGTTTTTGATGACAAAAATTACTTGTTGGAATGTTTCTTAAGTTCAGCAACATTAAGTGATGGGGACTTCAACTCCCAGAATTCCCCAGCCAGCATGAGAGTCCTTTGCTGAGGTTGAAAAACACTGGATTAGAAAAAGATCAAAAACTACATTTATTTATTTATTTATTTTGCTTAAAAAGAGAAAAATTAACTTGTGACTTATGGGTTTGAAGGTTAGAAAGGACAGCTTATGGAAAGGAGAAAATTATGACACATCTTCAGAGAGAGGGGGGGGACAAAACATAAATGTGTTTATAAGCGTTGAAGATCAGGAGCCACTTGTTTAATTTTTTTCTTTTTTCACTACTTGCTATTTTTCTTTATTATCTTTCCTTTCTTATACGGTTCTACTTTGAATCCATGTTGTTTTTCTGATAGGCTTTGCATGTTGTGCTGGACATGAAGCTGTGGTGTTTCATCACCATGAGTCAGCATCAAGCAGAGCTGTAAAGTGAGGGGGGGCTAAGAAGATCTACGTGCAAAACTCTCCGTCCTCCCATTCAATCGGGAAACTTGTTCGGACTAGATTAACTGGCGTCAACACATTTGAGGAAACCAGCTCCGTCTTCAATTAGCGCCTCTCCCTAAGATCCTGTATCAGCCTGCTCTCCATCAGTAGCTAGTCTCCATTTAATTTCCAGAGCCTGGGAAACTACAGGAGACTGGAGGAGAAGCCCTTAACAACAGTATGGGCCAGTCAACTCACCACGGCCAATTCACTGCGGCCAAATCACCACAGCCAACTTGCCATAGGACAACTCGCTGTGGGACAATTCAACAATTCAATTTAATTATTTAAAATAATTTTAAAAAATATTTTAATTTTTGTCATTCACATTTCACTTTGTCCCTCCTTTGGCATCCTTTCTTTAATGATTCTGTTCAGCTATTTCTTTGATACAAGCGCAACTCTTATCCTGTGGAAAACTGTCGTGCAGTGAGTTGGCCATACCAAGTTGGCTGCACATTGACCCTTGAGGGAATGTAATTTCTTCTCCTCCTCCCACCCTCAGCAGACATGTGTACATATTAACCCTTTCTGTCTATAAATTGATCCGTCAGCAAAGGCCACAACCTGGGGCCCAAGGCGTGGAAGTTATTAATTGGTAATTAAAAGCCACTAATGGCCCTGCAGCTTGCTGAATTAAGAGTTTTTCACTCTCGTGGTTAGGCCTCTATGGCCTTAATTAGACTTCTTAACCGATGACATCGTTTTGAGTTGCAACCGGTTATCTCCCCACCCTTTTGGTTTTAATCTCCAAGGACCGGCTATTTTGCTGAGGGTGGCAATGAACAAAACTCCGCTGACAGCAGTTTGGCTTTCGCGGATTGCAAATGGCACATTCAGCCAATGGATTTGCTGAGCCAACTGGTGGCACTGAAGAGAGATACGAGGTCTTTCCACCACCTTTATGTCTATCTTTGCATGTCCTAAAGATCTTAGAAGTCTATTTGTTGGGGAAAAAAGGCAGCTTCTTCAGATAATAAAGACAGCTTTCTCTTTTCCTTAAACTAGTTCTTAAAGGAGAAGACAAATTATGTTTACGGAATATCCTGAAACAAAAATCAACAAGCCACATTTTAGCTAAGCCTCTTGCAAGGACTTAAATGCCAGGCGTTTCATGATTCAAAAAATTAGGTTGAATAAACCTTGTGTAAACTGATCGGGTGTTGTAAGCAGGATACGCAAACTCAGCCAAAGGAGACCAGTTACCAGCTTGGACCTTGTGTTTTAGTTGCTAATCATTTTGGTGAAAGGTGAAGATTTGCTATAAATCTTTGTTTATATTCTGTAGCTGACTGCAGAACTTTTCATCTTATTGACGTCATTGAAATTATGCCAGATAAGCCTTTCTTACACAGCTCTTTGGTATATTTTTACTACTTTCTACTCAACCAGGGTGGCCCCACCCATGCAGAGAAAAGATAGTGACCAAGAAAACAGTGAGCCGTAAGTTGGCTAAGGTGTTGTGGAAGTAGCATCACGGTATCTTCTCCCAAGTGAGATCCACTTTAATTCCAATTGTGGCATTGTTCACGTCCAGAATTCTGATGTCTCTTCCAATTGAAGGCTAGCATGCAGAATCTCTTAGAGGATATTCAGAAAGACAGCATGGAGAAAATAGGGAAGAGCATAGGCCATAAATTAATTATGGCAGGATACGGAACAATGGTCAGAGCTAGTTTATCAGCAAGGTAAACCAAATGGGAGTGGAGGGCTGGATCTTTGCATTGCCCAGATTACTCTTCATTCAAACCATCTGTCTTGACACATCTTCTGGCCACTGAAGTTCAAGGAATCAATAATTAGATTTGAGGCTTGAAGTCTTTCAGGTTCTGTATCAGGTGGGAAGCACCTGGCCTGTAAAATTAATCTTGTTGGTCTCTTCCCAACAAGTCTTAATTGTAAAGAAGCATAAGTGAAGTAAAATAATGCTATCACTTAAATCTCAGGATACGCTGCTCAATACAGAACGGAAAACAATCAAATGCCTAGAGTGTGCAAAATAGCAATGTTTAAGAAGACTGAATGTACATAGGATATATCTTTTCTTTGTTGCTTAGTGAATAGTCAACAGCAGTCTTCCAATACGTGTAGGGCTGCCAAAGGAAAGAAGGCATCAATTTATCCTCCAAAGCACCTGAGGGCAGGATAAGAAGCAAAGCGTGGAAGCTCATCAGAAGGAGATTCAACCTGGAAATTAGGAGGAATTTCCTGATAGTAAGAACTATTAAGCAATAGTTTGCCTCATGGAGTTTTGGGTGCTCCATCACTGGGTGTTTTCATGAAAGACTGAACAACCATTTGTCTGAGATGATATCAAGACTTTGGGCAGGAGGTTGGAGTAGAAGACCTCCAGGATCCCTTTTAGCCCCCTTATTCTATGATTCTATGAAATTAGAAGTTTCTTCTTTCAATTGCTATCATTTCTTTCTTTCTGTACTTTTGTTTTTCACTTTTACATTCTTTGTTCTCTTTATTCTGAATTCATGGGGCGCGATGGCTCAGCAGCTAAAATAGCAATAGCAGTTAGACTTATATACCGCTTCATAGGGCTTTCAGCCCTCTCTAAGCGGTTTACAGAGTCAGCATATTGCCCCCACAGTCTGGNCCTACGGTGGGGGTTTGGCCTCCGGAAGTCTAGCCTCAGTAGTGACTCATTGCAATTGTTAAGCAAATCACGTTGTTAAGTGAATCTGGCTTCCCCCATTGACTTTGCTTGTCAGAAGCCCCCAGAGAAGGTTGCACATAGCAATCACGCAATCCCTGGATGATACAGCCATTGTAAATATAGGCCGGTTGCCAAGCACTCAAATTTTGATCATGTGACCATTATAAGACATTATGAGCACGTAAACTTTGGTTGGTTTATGATTCTTTTCATGCACTGCATGCAGAGAGATCATATTTTGTGAATGGAAGCATCCATCCTCATTCAGAGCACCAAGGCTGGCTTGGTGCAACTGCTGTGAGAGTTTTCCCTGCACAATGTACCTCTGCTTTGTTTTTCCAAGAATCCCAAGAGACCTTGAGTCTCTGCTGCACATACTCACCCAAGCTGACCCGGAAAGCCTGCCAGGCTTCTGAAAGAGCCAGAGACCTCAGCACTTTTGAGAAGGAAGGTTTTGTTTGCTCAGGCCTCGCATAAGGTAGGGTCCTTAAAGAGGAATATTTTCTGCACAAGCAGCTGTTGAGAGAGAAGGGGAGAGATAAAATAGCAATGGCAGAGGCAAGGAGAGAGAGAATTATTTGGCTCAATGACAGAATTACCAAAGATAACACGTGTGAGATTCACAGCTTGACACAATGATCAGATATGGGAGATTCCATTCTATATCCTACAATGAGCATCTCTGCATTTGCGGAGTGGCAGAGGTAGAAGATCTGGCTCACATCCAGTGGTGGGTTTCAATTTTGTTTACCACTGGTTTGTGTGCGCTCGTTCGGACGCGCAATGCTTCTCTGCATGTGCAGAAGTGTCTGGGCTGGTGAGAGGAGCCTCCCACCTTTGCCACTACCATTCACCCGATCTGGCCTGAACCAGGAGCAACCCACCACTGCTTACATCCTATTTGATGGTGCTTGTATAAGGGGGTGAGAGACAGATATCTTGGTCTAGATACCAAACAAATGACCCATTGGGATCCTCATATCAAAACAGCTTACCTTATTTGTGGCCAGAATTGGAAAATAACATTTAACACAGCACCATACTTAAAACAAAATGATTCGGTTGAGATCTGCATATGTGGGTCTGATTGGGGTAGATTGCAGGGGTGACATAGAAATATTATTTTATCATATTTTATCTATATCTTGAATTATTGTGTTATATTCCAATTTCATTTGTATTTCATTCCAATTCCATTTTAAATCCTATTTTATCAAATTCCACTTTATATTGCTTTTATCAAATTTTAGTAATAATTTGTTTCTGGAACTTTGCACTTTGATATGGCCCAAGGGCTAATAAATAAAGACTCAATATACTAACAATAACAGATGTGGAGAGAGAGAGGGGGAGGGAGAGNGTTTGGGGAACCCTGAAATTGGGGGGGGGCTTCCTCAAGGCAGGGGTCTTGGCTGACCTGCTGCCTTTTCTCTCCTTAAACTTCTTCCCTTTAACTCCATCACTGGCTGCATATCTATGTCCTTCAGGGGCCTTTCGGTTTATGTAGAAGTGCCTCGTGACACGGGGGAGGGGAGCTTCCAGACCCATAAGCAGAGCCTGGCTGAGAATGAGGGTAGCTGTAGTCCAGGGCATGGGAGCACCTGGCTGGGAGGTTGTTCCATTTGGGGTTTGCTTGCTTTTCCTGTCTGACGGAAAACGTCGGGAAGGAAGGGATTTCTGTGGAGGAGGGAAGTATGGGAGCTGGGGAGGGGCTGAAGGATCCCGAGGATCCTGCCCCTTCAGCCCTGCCAGCATTGACTCCTCTCCCCCTCCCCAGTATCCATTTGAGTCTCTCTTCCGGAGCCAGCACTACGCCCTGCTGGACAACAGCTGCCGGGAATACCTCTTCCTCTGCGACTTCTTCCTGGTGGCCGGGACCCCCGCCCTGGACCTCTTCAACGCTGTCATGGGCAAGACCCTCGCCATGTTCCTCGTGAGCATCTGGGGCCGTGACCGGTGGGGGAGGGGTTGGACCAGGAGGGTTCCGTCCCTTGGGGGGAACCGAAATTTCAGGCATAACTTTGGAGACACCCCCTATCCACGTCTCTCCGGATCCTTCTGGCCATGGGACCTTTACAGGACCTTCACGCCCGGCTCCACAGGATTCCCACTGTCCTAGAACCCTTTGGGGAGAGTTGGGGTCCAAGAGGCAGGGACACCCCCACCATGCATCTCCTCTCTCCTTCCCCCCTCCCCCTGCAGAAGCACATGGACGCCTACGTGAGCGACTGCTACGACAGCATCGCCGTCTTTCTCTGCATCCACATCGTCCTGCGCTTCAAGGCCCTCGTGGGGAAGCGCAACGTCCCGGCCATCGACAAGTGAGCCCCCTTTTGCCCCCCTCCCCATCTGTTCTTCTCCCCAAGGCTCTCCCTTTGTCAGCCAGATCAGGTGGGGGTCTTTGGTGACACATCCACACCTCTTCCAGATACTGGGACACGTTGCTGGAGCTGCTCTGGCCGCGATTTGAGTACATCCTGGAGCTGAACATCCACAGCATCCAGAGCACGGACCCCCAGAAGCTGGGCTTCCTGGACACGCGGCCCCACTACGTACGTGCGCGTGCGGGAATGGCACTCCCCCCTCAGGAAGGGAGGGGTGGGTGCCCCCCATTCTTGGTGGGGAGGGAAGAATCTGAGGGCTGAAAAGGCGTGGGGGCTTATGACCAAACAGCCCCTGAGTTGCTGGAGGGGGGCTGGCAGGAATGCCGGGACGCTCGCCTGCCTCTGGTCCGGCCAGGAAGGAGGGGGCTTCTGTGTCTGTGGAGCTCAGGGGCCCCTAATCCCGCTTCTCTGCTCTCCTCACCCCCCACTCACCCACCCACAGATCACCCGGCGGTACGCAGAGTTCTCCTCGGCCATCGTCAGCATCAACCAGACCTTCTCCCACGAGAGGACTTTGGCCTTGTTGGGGCAGCTTCAGGTGGGCCCTTCTGCAGGACAGGGGAGACCCTCCTTGCAAGGGGGGCAGCCTGTCAGTGCTACTGAAGACGCAAAGATGGGCCAGAGGGCTGCCTCAAGGGGGCCTTTCCTCTCTCTGACTGTTTCCTTGGGCATCACCCACAGTGTCGCAAACGTTTGTGAACTGTCCGCTTTCCTGGTTCTCTACATGCCAGATGTGGCCAGGGACTGAAGAGGGGATCTCTGTGAGGGGGAGGGGTGAGGGCCTGGGCGGATATTCCCCTGCATCCTGCCTGTCCTTGGTCCTTCTTGCTAACCTCTGGCCTCAGCCTGCCCGTTGGGTGTAGGGCAGTGTCCGTCTAGTATTGGGAAGTCTTGCATCTCCTAGTGTTGGGGGGAGTGGTCTGGAGATGGGGGGGGCTGCTTCTGATGCTGCCTGCTTCTCTCCCCCACCAGACCGAAGTGGAGAACTTTGTCCTGCGTGTGGCGGCCGAATTCTCCTCCCGCACCGAACAGCTCATCTTCCTCATCAACAACTACGACATGATGCTTGGCGTCCTGATGGTACGCAGGACACCGAGGGGGGTGCCCAGAGAGAGGAGGGAGGGGTAGAAGAACAAATCTTCCTCACCTCTCTCCCCCTTGCCGTACCCAGGAACGAGCAGTGGAGGAGAGCAAAGAGGTGGAGGGCTTCCAGCAGCTGCTCAATGCCCGGACACAGGTGGGTCAGGGGTGAGTGGGTGTTGCAGCTTCCATTCTCAGGAGCCCCCCTCTCCAAGAAGCTGGGGGGGGGTCTCCAGCCATGCCTCAGGAGGTGAGGGTAATGGGGGAGAGGTGTTTGGGGTACACACCAGGTGTTGACATAGAGCTGGCGCAGATGCAGGACTGATGTGTTATCCCTGTGTAGAGTCAGGGAGTTGATGCGTTCAGTGGTAGAGTGAGGGGCACCCCATCCCCTGAGATTTGGGGAGGGGTCCCTCTGCCTCAGCTGAGCCCATCCTCCCCCTCCTCCTTCCCTGGCAGGAGTTCATCGAGGAGCTCCTGGCCCCTGGGTTTGGGGGCATGATTGCCTTCGTGAAGGAGGTGGAGGGGCTGGCTGAGCGGGGCCAGCTGGAACGCCTGCGAGGGGAGGAAGGTGAGTGGGGCACGGACTTGTGGGAGGGAGGTGAGCAGGAGGAGGAGGTCCTGGCACCACACCTTTCCTCTTCCTCCTTACCCCACAGCCCGGGTGACACAGCTGGTGCGCAGCTTCGCCGCAACCTGGAAGGCCTCAGTGGAGACTCTCAGCCAGGACGTCATGCGCTCCTTCACCAACTTCAAGAACGGGACCACCATCATCCAGGTGAGGGAGGCGGGGGCCCTGGGGAAGGTGGGACCTGGAAAGGGGCGGGGCTGAGCTCCTTCTCACTGCCCCACATTTGCCTGCAGGGGGCGCTGACACAGCTGATCCAGTACTACCACCGCTTCCACAAGGTTCTGGCGCTGCCCCCCCTCAAGTCGTTGCCCGTCCGCTCGGAGCTGATCAACATCCACCACCTGATGGTCGAGGTGAAGAAACACCGGCCCAACTTCTGAGGGTGGAACCCCCTCACCTCCACCCCCACAGCCCCCTTCCCCTTGTACCCTCCTGTGAATAAACTTTATTCTGACTCAGGCGGCCTCCCTGGAACCCAGTGGGGAGGGGGGGGGACTGGAATTGGGGGCCAGGCTCACCCACCCTCGTCCCTCTTCCCCCACCCCATCACCACGGGCGGAGCTTGCTGGTCGCTGCTCTTGTTCAGGATTGGTGAGTGTGTGTCACGTGAGCTGGAGCCCAGGGAGTCCTCAAATTGAGCCCAGAATCTCCGTTGCTAAGTTAGACAGTTGTTAACTGAGTTTTGCCCCATTTTACAACTTTTCTTGCCAGGTTTGTTAAGTGAATCACTGCTGTTATTAAATTGGTGAGANTCCTCTGTCTTTGTGGGAAGCAGGGAGGGTCACGTCTGAGTAGCTTTCTCAAGGTATCCGTTCTGGCCCAGACTCCGGTTTCTTTTATCTGCTGTCAGTTGCAGATCTTCCTTCCGTCCCTCGAGGTTCCTCTCTCTGCCCAACGGTGTCACCGATGCGTTCAAGCATCCCTTTTCTGTCCTTGACTGCAGAGCTCTGGCTGCCACATTGCCAGGGGAGAGTGGGGGGGGGGTGTCAGATGTGGGGGTCCTGGTGCTTTTGGCTAGAGGTGCCACACGGGTGGTTCTTCCTTCCTTCACCAGGCGGTGGCCAAGATCCGAGAGTTCATCCTGCAGAAAGTCTACTCCTTCCGCAAACCCATGACCAACTACCAGATCCCCCAGAATGCCCTGCTCAAGTACAGGTAGGAGGTTGGTCTGCCGTGTCTCCCAGCATGCCCCGGGGTTCCCATCGTCTGGGGTCTCCCAGAATGCTCTGGGCACGATCCCAGCCCACCTGCTTTGGGGAGACCTGCAAACGTTCCTGCTGGGTTTAGGGACAGCAAAGTGGGACCCCCTCCTCCTCTTTTACGGGGTGGGGGACAAGTGAAGGTTCTCCTCTTTTGGGGGGGGGCAGGTTTTTCTACCAGTTCCTGCTGGGCCACGAGAGGCTCATCGCCAAGGAGGTGCGGGACGAGTACGTGGACACCATGAGCAAGATCTACCTCAGCTACTTCAAGTCCTACACCAACCGGCTGATGAAGCTCCAGGTGGGCTCCCTGGGCAGGGGGCCTGGTCTACCCCCTTCCCCAATCTAGATGCAGGGTCCCCTCCAACTCCAGAGTCCCTCCGTGCTGAGCCGTGTCCCGTTTTCTGTCCCCTGTACCTGCAGTACGAGGAGGTGGCTGAAAAGGACGACCTGATGGGGGTGGAAGACACCGGCAAGAAGGATATCCTTTACGAGGGGGCTGGACGGGCAAATGAGGGGGGCTTTGGGGGCAGCTTGGCTGTGTCTCCCCTCTCCCACCTGCACCCCTCCTGACCTGTGGGGGAGGGGGAGGAAGGATCCTGATCTGGGGGCCGATACGGTGGGCCCTTTCTCCTTGACTGCGGCTGGCTACACGCTTCTTCTCCAAGCCGTCCCTCCGCAGCCGGAACACCATCTTCACCCTGGGCAACCGGGGGAACGTGATCAGCAGCACCGAGCTCGAAGGACCCATCATCGTGCCCCACTCGGCGCAGAAGAGCGACGTCCGGGTAAGTCCGGCTCTGCCCTGCTGCAGATCAGACCGGTTAAAATGGGAGGTCCCCAGGAGGGCCCAGAGCATTTGATAAGTACACCGCCCCTGCCCCCCCCGCAGTCAGTGACAGCAACCCACTTCCCAGAATGCAATAGGGCCATGTTCCCCAACCTTTTTGCCTTTGTTGGGACAGTTCCATGCAAGTGGCAGCTCCATTTGCTTCTGCGGCCTGCATCCAAAACTGCCCAGGGCCAGGTTTGGGGACCCCTGAAATTGGGGGGGGGCTTCCTCAAGGCAGGGGTCTTGGCTGACCTGCTGCCTTTTCTCTTCTTAAACTTCTTCCCTTTAACTCCATCACTGGCTGCATATCTATGTCCTTCAGGGGCCTTTCGGTTTATGTAGAAGTGCCTCGTGACACGGGGGAGGGGAGTCTCCATACCCATAAGCAGAGCCTGGCT